TCTCCTCAGCCTGGCCCTCCTGGCCCTTCTCTATCCTCATATATGAGTGCTCAGACCTCCTAAGAATACCCATGCAACTCAGCCCCCCTGGCTCAGGTCTCACACTGATGAGGTAGGGAAAACTACCAAGAGTTGCCTCAGGAATGAAACTGCAGAGTCTAAGCCAGGTTTGTGGCCTAGGTGGTAGCCTGAGAAGCAGACTTTTCACTTGTGAAGGATCCAGGCCACCACTGACACGTGGGCCAACAGTGGTTCAGCTGGCTGACTGTGTGGCCAAGGAATTGGATTACCCCTGAGCCCTGTGTGGCTCTTCTTCCTCATTCCCCTCATTAGCTCCTTGTCTGTTCCTGCCTCACCACCCACAGGCCTGGTGTCCTCCCCAGGCAATCTGCTCACCCACTTGTTGCCATGGTGACTCTGGTTGGGGGTGTAGGGACTGAGGGGGGTCGTCTAATTAAGGAGAAAGGCCACACTCCCACTGTCAGGCCACCCCTCTCCCCTCCTCTGTTTCCCCTCCCTCATTCTCTCCCTCCTTCTAGGAGCAGACAAGGGGAGTGCCCAATTACCATCTCCTGTTACTGGGAGGAGGAGGAAAGGATCACCACTCAGGCCTCCTCACCTAGGAGCAGAAACATTGAACTGGAAGACCCCACAGAGATCTTACAGGGGCCTCTGAGCCCCAGTCCCACCAGCAGTGGAGTGGTGGTGATTCTGTATGGTTTGGGGTGAGGGTGAGGTAGACTCTAGGTCCAGATTGCAGAGATGGGACAGAGGCTATGGACAGAGACACAAATCTTGGCACTTGGGGCCAAAAATATGAAGAGGGTACTACAAGGTTCTGTTTCCCTTCCCTCTTGTGATTTCACTTTCTTTCATGTCTTACTTCTGTTTCTTTCTCCTACTTTTTTCTTCTCTGTTACCCCTTTTTCTTACCCCGGCTTTCTTAAAATTCCCTTCTTTTCCCCTTATTTCTTCTTGTCCACCGCCTGTTCACTCCTTCCCCTTTCTTCCTCTCTCTTACTCCTCCTCTCAGTAGCCTTCTCTTACCTGCATCTTTCCACTCTTATGTTCCCCACTCACTCCATGTTAGTCAGCTTTCCATCATTGTGACAAAATGCCTGAAATAATAGACTTATAAGGAAGAAATATTTATTTTGGCTTATAGTTTCAGAGGTTTTGGTTCATAGCCATGGACCAAAAGCACTCTTGCTTTAGGCCCTGTGCTTTGGGCCTGTGGTGGTACAGTTCATCATGGTAGAAGTGCATGGTTCATCTCATGGTGGCATAGAAGCAGAAAGAGAGGAAAGAGTGGGCAGATTTCTAATATCCCCTTCAAGGGCACACCTCCAATGACCTAAGGTCCTCCCACCAGGCCCCACCTCCTAAAGGTTCCACTACCCAGTAGCACCACAGGCTGGTGACCAAACCTTTAACACATGAGCCCTTGTGGGACACTCTAGATCCAACTATAGCTCTTATCTCCCTACTCTTTCTTACTCTTCTCTTTTCCCATCTTCACCCGACTCCATTCTTTTACCCCTTCCACCTTCTACCTCTTATTCCCCTGCTCTTTCTCCCCAGCCTTGCTTTTCCTTACCTGCATGATCACCACCATTGCTTACCCTCCAAACCCCCCACTTTTCTTACTCTCTCTTTCTTACACCCTCCTCTCTTTAAACTCCTTACTCTGCTGCCACCCTCTCTTACCCTTTAAGTTCTCTTTTACTGTCTTCTTTTACCACTCAAGCACTTTTTACCTAGCCCCTTACTTTCACCTGTTCTTTTTCACTTTCCTTGCATTCCTTTCTCACTCCTTTGCATGTACCTTTTATCCTCATAATTTCATTTTTTTGGAATTTACATAAATGAAATTAAAGACAATGCATAAGAGATGTGTGTACAAAAATATTCAATGGAGCATCATTTAACATAGTAACTAGTGACCATGTGGAAACAACTTAAATGTCCATGAGCAAGGGACTGGTACCCATTCCATTCCACTCACATGAAACTTTCTCTGTCTTCTTAGTGCATCTTGTATTCACTCACTTCTGTGCCTTTGCTTAAGCCGTTGCCTCATCCTGGAATGTCCTTTTGCCTCATCTCTACCCATCCTATCCATGAAGTCCAAGCTCAACTCTTATTCCCTTACTGGAATCTTTCTCAACTTGTCTACTTGCTTCATTCCAACAATCCCATAGTTTGACTTCTCCTGTACTTTAGGTCATATACCACAGATTCAAGTTAGATTTATCTATCTGTGAAACTGTAATGTCTGTGGAAGTAGGAACCAGTTGTTATTTTCTCATCCTGTTCACTCAGTCAATGGATATTTTATGTATATTGTGCTGAGTTCACGATGGTTAATAAGACAAACTCATGTTTGCCTTCATGCAACTCATGTTAGTAGGGTTGATAGTAAAACAAAACAAGAATGCAGACAAAGCAATAATTGTGGTGAAGAAACAAGTAAGGAAAGGATAGAATAATGAGGACATCATCCTCTGCTGAGAGTGGTCAGCCTACTGCAAAGACCCTTTCTGAGGAGCTGACATTTAAACTGAGACCTGGAAAATAAGATGAAAAGGACCCATCTATGCCAAAAGTGGGGGAAAGAACATTCTAGTCCAAGAAGACAGCATTTTCCAAGGCTCTAAGCTGGGAAGAAGTAGGGAACATTCAATAAAAAGAAAGAAAATCCCTGTTTGTGGAGTATGATGAGCTTGATGGGAGAGAAGAAAATGACAAGTGAGGTTGGAGAGAGATGGGGACAAAGTATGTAGAAGTTTGAAGTCTGTTCAGAAGTTTTAGCTTTAGTCTAAATGCATTGAAGGGTTTGAAGCAAAGGAGTAACACATCCAATTACAGTTTAAGACCTCTCTTATTCCTGGGTGAACAGTGAATTGGAAAGAGCAAGAGTGGAGGTGGAGAGGCCAGATAGGAGACTGCCTTTCAGATAAGAAATGATGGTGTCCTATACAGAGCTGTGGCCATGGAGCTAGAATTGACATGGCTTTCAGAGGGACTGGATGGAGGGTGCAGGGAAAAAGAGGAATGGAAGCTGACACTTAGGTATCATAGCACTTGCTGAGCTGGTTAAGATTTGTGTACTTGGAATTAAAAAAAGTAAGTACTACATTTTAAAATTCAGAGCATTTTAAATTTGAGATGCCTGTGAGATACCAAAGTCCCAAGCAATGCTTTGTCCCTGATTTGCATCACAACCCCCTACCATCCCTGCCCCTGCTTTGGTTAAGGCCAATGTGAGATATTATTGCCAAAGCCCATGTTTACAGTGGAGTCATTTGTAGTTTAGTGAAAATGTTTAAAATAAGTGTAAGAAACTGTGACCAAGTGTTTCCAAGACCATGTTGCTCAGTATGGTTGAAAGGACTCCTGCTATAGGATGACCTGGATCTTTGTTCAAAAATTCAGATCCTTGAGCCCACCTCAGTCTTCTTGAAACTGAATTGGGAGGAGGCATCTGCATATTTAACAAGTGCCCCTGGGGATTCTGAGGCACACTGAAGTCTGAGAACCACTGCTATGAGGAGCAACAGTGAACCTAGAAAGTGCTGCTGAAGATACCCAGGCTGGGTATGGGAAGGACTCAGATTCTATGTGTGAGCACCCCCCGAACATCCTGTTAAAAACAGATGCTGACCTAGCAGAGCAGGGCAGGATCTAAGATTCTGCATTTCTTACCAGCTCTTCAGTGATAGTGATGCTAATGATCCAGGTCCACACTTTGAGCAGCAAAGGTCTAGATCAGTGATTTTCAGTACAGCAGTTCTTGTGAAGCATTATAAGCTAAAAAGCAAGGAAATAACATAATCCCATTGCCACTTGAGGCCTGTTTTCCTCTTGTGCAGACAGTGCATTGGAAAGAACAAGAATGCAGGCGGGGAGGCCAGATAACAGATTGTCACTAGGTGAGAGGTGATGATGGCCTGCACAAAGTTGTGGCCATGGAACTCCCCAGGGAGCATTTGCCAATGGTTGGAGACATTTTTTGGTTGTCATAATAAGGGAAGGGAGGGAGAATGCTGCTAGCATCTAGTGGGTAGAGGGGCCAGGGATGCTGTTCAGTATCCTACATTGCATACACAGCACAACCTCCACAACAAAGAGTTATCTGGCCCAAAATGTCAGTAGTGCTGCTTTTGAGAACCCCTTGGATTAATGAGAGCCAAAGAGTTTTGAGCAGGGGACCTTTCTAGCTAGGACTTGCTGCCTAGTAATGGTGGGCTAGATGAGGGACAGAAAGTATGCCCATGAAGTGAAACTTAAAAGAAAGATTTCAAAAAAGTGTAGCAGTGTCTGTGATTTGTGCTGCGTACCAAGGCTGAAGCCAACAGGACATAGCATGGATTGAGTAGAGCTCAAAGGCACATGTGGTGCCTGGTAAAACAGATTCCTGTTTTTATAATAAAAAAAAAACCCTCACATTTGTATTGACCTTTGGAGCTTAAAAAACATTTTCATATATGCCATATTATTTGATTCACACCATACCCTAATGAGGTAGAACAAGGATTATTTTCCCCATCCCTTTCTTGAATTTAGATACTCGACACCATCAGCCAAGAAAATGTTTGCCAAATGGAATAGAACTGAAATTTGCCTCATTATATATAGGTAACCTTGTACAAGTCAAGACACTTATTTGAACCAAGTATAAAATGATATGGTCGGATAGGATGATTGGTAAGATTCCTTCCACTCTGACAGGAGTAATTTTTATTTCTGCCAGCAAACAGATTCTAAGTCTTGGATAACTGTAGATTGGGAAATTTGGGTGCCCTGGCTCTATGAGATGGGAGATCTTAGGGTAGGATATAATGGCCATGACCCAAACCCTTCTTCCTCTCTATCTCTGAAGTGCTGGGGTTAGGTTGTCGAGGCTCCTTTGAGAGATCACATGTTGGCCTTCCCCATTCCTCTACTCTGAGGTGGGAAGGGGCTGACGCATGGGCTGATGCTCTTTCCTCTCCCCACAGGCTGTCTACAAGGCCTGGCTGTGCTCAGAATACTTCAGCGTGACCCAGCAGGAATGCCAGCGCTGGGTGCCCTGCAAGCAATACTGCCTGGAGGTGCAGACCCGGTGCCCCTTTATCCTCCCCGACAATGAGGAAATGGTGTACGGAGGGCTCCCTGGCTTTATCTGTACAGGTAAAGGCAGGGCACTGGGGAAGAGGGAGGAGGCTGGGGGCCCAGGGCAGGCACTACGCACGTCAAGAGTGGAAGCAGAGAGGACAACAGGAGAATCAGGCTAGAAAAGCCCCAATGGTTGGAGGAGTGGGCAACAAGGTTCCCAGGCTGAGATATAGTCAAATGAATAGGGGAAAAAAGAGAGACCAGAATATATCCAGCCAAAGATTCATCTCAGAGAAACTGGGTGGGGTCCCTGGGAAAGAAGGGCTTGGAAAGGGAAGGTGCTGAGGGCCAAAGAGGAAGAAGTCTTGGCTAGGACTACCTGAGAAGTCCTGGCTTAGGAAACATCCTCTCCAGGTAAGACAGAGAGACATCAGCCCCCCCTGAGCATCCCACCATGCCTTCCTTATCCTTTGGCAGGGTTGCTGGACACTTCACCAAAGCGGCCGGAAACCAAGTGCTGTGACGTGCAGTGGGTCTCCTGTGAGTCGGAGAAGAAGAAGTTCAAGGAGTCTGAGGCCCCCAAAACCCACCACCAGCAATTCCACCACTCCTATTTCCACCACTACCACCAACAGTATCACCACTACCACCCCCGCCACGATCCCCCAGGCCGCGTTAGCCACAAGCCCTCCCTGCTGCCGGTCTCTGGGGGATCCCGCCTCAGCCCCAGCAGGATCCGGCTCTGTGTCCTTGTTCTCATGCTCCTCCATACCATGGTGTCCTTCTCCAGCAATCAGGGTGGTGGAGTACTGGGGCTGGAGACACTGCCTGCCCTAGAGGAGGGCCTGACACGGGAAGAGTGAAAGCAGGGAGGGAGGACAGACCTCCATCACATACTTACAGCAGCTCCAGCTCCCCCACTGGGGGGGAGGGAGCTCCTCCCATGGGAGGTATAGAACCAGGTGGGGGGGCGGGGGGGAAATGGGGGACCACACATCCCCCCAACCTACCCCCACCCCAAAAGCAGCTCCAACAGAATGGCCAGAGGGCCCCAGGGAGCTGCAAATCTCATCCGGGAGAAAAAGATAGGAGCAGCAGGTGCCCCCTCCCAAGCCCCATCTGTGAGGCTTAGCAAAAAATGGGGGGGAATAGGGGCTGGAATTGGCCACCCCTGCTGAGAGCCCTGACCCCAGGGAAGGAGGCTGCTCACCCAGCCTTGGCCTTGCAGGGAATGTTGGGGGGCACAGAGGGGAAAAGCTCTTTTCCCCCCCTCCACATTCCTTTTGTTGCCAAGATCCTTAATTCCCTCCTGCCCATATCCCTACAGGCGACGGCAGACAGTGCATTGGCCCTCCTGCCACTACAGTGCACCTCGCCCCACATGGGGCCACCACAGGTGAAATACCAGGCTGGGACATGAGGTGCACACAGTTGCAGCTAGGTTGGGGCCCCAGTTAAGCTGTGCCCCACCACCCTAGGCAATGAGGGGTAGGAATGGGGTATGGAATAAGTGGTAAAAGAGAATGAAGATAGGGAAGCAGGAGAGGAGAGGAGAGACACTTACAGAGGGCCTAGAGAGATGGCCAAATGGGCTACTGCCAGGTGGCTTTGGGGAGGTGAATGATTAATGATGAGACAGATACAGAACTGAACCCCAAATCAGAGAGAATTGCAGAAGGAGCCCTCTGGAGAAAGAACGTAGGAACTGAGTTGTTGGGCCAAAAATCAGAAGGCTGAGGGCATGTAGTAGGACTGCCGCTGTCTGAAGGGCCATATCTTACAGAAGGTGCACATACTCCCAAGGGCCACTCTTGCCCTGGAGATCTTGGCCTTGGGGCCAAAGACCTTTCATTTCCGATCTCCACGGGGAGGAGGGACTTGAACCCAAGTGGGTCAGGCCTGGCCTGGGTCCTCATACTCCCCCATCCTGTCCTAGCCCAGGCCTCCATGAAGGAGAACCTGGAGGCCTTGCCCCAGAACTCTCCAGAGATGAGCCTTCCCTTTCCCCACCCTGTCCCCTTCCCCAGCCTACCAAAGAGTATTCATCCCTTCCCATCCCTGCCCCCATGGGCTATTATCCCAATTGTGGAACAACCAAACTCCTCTTCACCCTATAGTGGGTCCCTTACTCCAGTCACCCCTGTCCCTTGCTGGAGAAAGTCCAGAGTAGGGGAAGAAGACCTTTTGACTAAAGATAATGTGCTGTTTTCCCTTGGCTATAAGACTTGAATGTTTAGTCAGGCTAGAGGGTTGAATGAGAAAAGAGATATTGGGTTCCCTGTGGGCGCTATTAGCCTTATATTGGTCATCTGAGAGGGGGAGGCCACATTGCCTAGGGCATCTCAAAGCCAGTCAAAGCTGACAAAAGCCAGAGCCAGAACTCTGTGGGCCAGGCCAGGGCCTTCCAGTGCCAGAAAAGCCTGCATCATATGATGTGAGGCTAGTGAGTGGAGGAGAGGGGTAGCCCTGGAGCTGCAGCAGAAGAAGCTGCAACCAAGAAGATGGGGTATGGAGGGAGAGTTGAACTTTGTTGGCTTAGGGATGAATGGAAGGCCTCCCTACTAGAGAAGGAATCATTCAGGGGATCCTGAGGAATCCTTCCCTGACAGTTTTCTCATTTCTCACAGCCCGTTCCCTCTTGCCCCATGCCCTACCCACACACACCCCTTTTTGGCCCTCAGCACTTTGGGCCTGGCCACATACCCCATCCCTACAGTGCTCTTTTCAGCTGGGGAGGGGAAGAGGTGCTGGCATCTTTCCAGACGTGCTTATGTATAAGTGAAGGGGCAGGTGCTTGGGTTCCAGAGAGACCCCAGGTACTGCCTTCTAACACCTGCATCCTCAGGAGGGGAAACGGGACTGGGCAGTAAAGGGGGCCTTATGGCCCCAGGGAATGGACCCTTGGAGACTCTCATCCTCTCTTTCCCCTCACCAAGTGCCCAGGAGACCCCTGGCTCAGACCAGCCCAAGGCCTTGCCCAGCGGCAGGGGAAAGGGGCACCACGCTCCACCTCAAAGTCATTTGACTGTCCCCATTCACTCCACCAACCCAATCTTCCACCACCTCTTGGGCTGCCCCTGCTGTCTATCACAGGCAGCAGAGCTGGGCAGCTTTCTTATGCCATTTTCTACACTGTGCTTCATCAGTAGGACTTTCTTGCACTAGTTCCTATGACTGAGTCTCCAAGCTGGTTTCCTAGTAGTCCCCCCTCCCTTCCTCCCTTACCTGGCTATGATTCAGTTGTCTCTGCCCTTCCTCTTACCCCTGCCTCTGTGTTTTAGTGAGAGTCTCTTTATGTGTACTGCTTTCTGTTTTGTTGCATTGTGGGGCAGAGGCCTCTCTGCCCTTGTTTAACCCCATAAATAAATGGTAAGACTTGATGATAACCCTCCCTTCATGGCTTGTTCTATGGTGTCCTAGGAAACAGTGCAAGACCTGGAGAGGGGGTGGATCCAGAGGATGCTGACCCTGTGCCAGGTACCCCTCAGCTCAAATATCAGAAAAAAAATCATACACTCTGCAGTAGGCTATTCTAGACAAGGAGTCATAAAGCCAACCACCTGCAGGGATCAGGCAGATAACTTTAAAGTATGAAGTTGGCTGATCTGGGGAAAAGTGCAGACTTGGGAGTGGTAAGAGCTGCAGGACATGCAGAGGGATAGCTCAAGCCCAGGGCTGTCGCATGGAAAAGTGGGCCCAGTGTTGCCAGATCTTAATCTTCAAGGAAAGCTAGGACTCAGGGTTTTATTGTGAAGCTCCCTAATTCCTGAATGTTGATGGCTCAAGTCTAAAAACCAGCTGACAAACCAACCTACCTCCATGTGGGCTAAACACCTGCAGGCCCTGCCTAGCCTGGGGATCACTAGTTCCCCACCTTTGTTGTAGCCTCTGATTCAGGTCACATCTCTCCACACCACTACACTAGACCCAGCATCCCACCATATGAGTGAGGGACACTCAGGAAGAACTGCTGGAGGGGCAGCAGAAAGGGCCTTCCACCGCTATTTCTCTTTCACATAAATGGGGGAAATGAAACCATGAGCAAGGGCATGCTTTGCCAAGAAAACAAGTTCTCTAAGCTCCCCAAAAGCAGCATAACATGAAGGCTAGGGCAGGTCTCTGGAGCCAGACTCTGACTTTAAAGCATAGTCACCATCATCTCCTACTTGTATGACTTTGGATAAGTTCCTTTACTTCTTTGATCCTTGGTGTCCTCATCTATCAAAAGGGTTATTGTGAGAATCAAATGATGTACATAAAGCACTTAGCACAACAGCTGGCACAAAAGAGCCACTCAAATGCCAATAATTATTATTATCATTAGTCATTCAATCTTCTCCTTCCTTCACCCCCATCTGAAATGGTCACCAAATTCTGTCATTCTCCCACTGTGTGTCAAATCCTTCCCCTCCTTTCCACCCTGACTCCCACTAAACCACTGCAGGCCTTCAGTATATTTTGCCTGGACTATGACAATAGCCTATTGTCCAACTGATCTCTTGTCCAATTACTCTGGCTCCAATCCATCCTCCACTTATCAAAGTGTCAGACACTTTAGAGGCACTTCATAGATATTTTGTGAAAGAACTCCCCCCGTGGTTGAGTTTCCTAAAGAACACACCACCAATCTTCCTATAGCAAACATATTGCACTCAGCAAAAACACCAAACACACACACACACACACACACACACAGCAAATCAGATGGCTCCACATTGCCTGTAGAATCATGTGGTAACTTCTAAGCATGACACTCAAGGCTGTTTATTTCCTAACCCTGTCCTACAAATCTGATCATCCACCATAGTCCCTCATGCACTCACCTCTCAGCCATTTCCCAACTGTTGACTGAATGAGCTCTGTACCTTCTCATCTCCTGCTCTTTGCTCAAATGGTTTCTTCTGACTGAAATGCCCTCACCTCAGCTCTGCCCATCACTGGCTTACCCAGTTTTCAAAGTCTAGCACAAATACCTGCACTGCTCTGAAGAATTCCACAGCCTCCCTTCTCCCCAACTGGAAACAATCTCTCCTCTAATTTGATACTTTGAAAGTACTTAATCATGGTACTTCTGACATCCTTTGTGATTTCAACTTATTAATTTATTCAAAATATACCTATTGAGCAACTACAATATGTCAAGCACTGTGCCAAGTGCTGGAATACAGCAAGGCACAGACACATTACAGATCCACAAGATAGCAGGAACTTATGCGTCAGACAACCGTAATATACTCACACTAACATTAAAGTAAAATATAAAATAATTCTAAAATAATTATTTTAAAATAAAATATAAAATTATATAAAATTTATGTAAGTAATACATAAAAATTAAAATGTAGTCAAACATTTTTATTTCACTGCATGTCCATGACGAGGGGGCCAGGCTCTCTTCACCTTGGGTATGGGAAAGACATATGAGGGATTGAAGGTCTGTCTACTACACACAAAAGCAGAGGGGGCTACACATTCCACAGTATTAAGGGAGTAAAGGGCATAGTGGTTGTGACACAGAAGTAGCTCCACCAGCCTTACAGTCCCTTTGACTCTTGAGCTGAGCTAGTATCATCCCAAAACTGCCTGTCTGAGCTCCCCCTCTAACTAGGCCTAGGCCCTGGCACTTTCCATACCTGGCACTTTCACTGGTCAACCTGCAGCCAGCCTCAGTCTCTTCCAGCCCAACATGAATGAAGAGGACTGCAGTGGCTTACAGTCCTGGTAGTGCCTCAGTATCACCTGGAAAGTTTTAGCTCAGGGCCCTACCAGCACAGACTCTGATTTAATTAGTCTGGGGAGAGGGTCCCAGCTTCGATATTGTTTAATGAAGTTCACAAGTAATTCTAGTATGCAGGCAGGTTGG